ACACAGGAGGAACTGTCCATCTTTCTCCCTTGGGGCAGCTGGTGGATACAGAACTGCTTGCCTTTAAATTGGCAGCACGACTCCCAGTCCATGAAATCATCAGATATATAGGTAGATAAATACCACAATAAAATATTTTTAAAAGAAAATATAAAACATTTTTAAAAAGAACCTTAACTAAATTTCCCCCAAAAGAATGAGGTAGGCACGCCTGACAGAACAACCACAGAGCGTTTTCCATCTCCTAGCCCACTGCTGGGTCTGACAAGATTAACTTCGCCAGGATAAATGAGTAGTCACTCAGTTACAAAGATGTCAGAGAGGAAATCAGGAAAATAAGTCTATATTCCCTCAGTTGAAGAGTTAAAAACAAAACAAAACAAAAAAAGAAACTAGTAGCTACATGATAAAATGTTCTTTCTTTAAAAAATTAAAATGCCCTAAAGCTTCCTGGTATTCTCTCTTACTGATGAGCCAAATTAAAATAGAAAACCTTTGTCCTGGAAGCATCAAAGACAAATTAAATGTCAGACGAAGTAAATTACACATTTATCGACTGCTTCATGAGGTTAAGGGGAAGGTTCATTAAAATGTCCCCCTAAAAGACAATTCTTTTTCTATGAGAGACAGAAGTTGCAAATTGATCAATATACATTGGAAAAGTCTCAGCAGATTTGGGCAGCTCCTGATTAATGATGCTTCAACATGTTGAGATAAATGTCTTTGAAGTGTCTAGGAAAAATGCAGAGGATTCTTTTCATAATGAATCAGGTTGCAGTTGAACACATTTATAAAAAGGTGTATTTTCACTGTCTCAGTCATTGGGTACTTGACTTGCTTTTTAACACGTTTGCACACATAAACTCTAGGTTATTGGCTTTGGCAAGAAAAGGTATGGAATCCCAAGGAAACTAATTATCTTCTTGACTTTTGAAAGACTGACCAGGATTTATTTCTTCTGTCGTAAGAACTTTGCAGCTATAAATTTCATAGAAAGACATAACTTGAACATACATATCCGCAGGGAGAGTTATCCCAAGGGTAACAGTATATATACCCTTATGGTCTGATCCTGAGTCTTAACAAATAAATATCTCACCACTAGGAAACCTACAGCTAAATATTTCTCACAGGTCTAGACTATTTAAAGGGGCTGAACCATTCTTTTAAAGAATATCCACTGTTGTTTGTGACTTAATAAATTTCAGTGTTCACAAAGTGACTTTATGTGCAATTGAGGGCCAGAATAATCATCATATTGACTCTAGAGACCTCGCACCTCCATTCTCCCTAAGCCCTCAGAAGTTACATACAAATATGTAATCTCATTGATGTTCTGTTTCAATGCAAAAAAACCCAAAAAAACCACGCAACACCCAAAACCTCCCATAAATTGTAAATATCAAAAAGTTCTGGCATATGACACCAAGTAGAATATTCTAAAGTAAACTTTCAAATGATATGGCTGTAGCATATCCTAAGTCTTCCTGTTGTTTTGCTTTTCTTTCAATGGGAAAACCTCAATTTTCTTTAAGTATCTAATGACTATAGAATTTAGGAGAAGCTGAACTCTCTCTTCTCCATGAATGTATCTTAATTACTCTCACCTAAGCATGAACATTTCTTCTTCATGGAAATCTGATCCAGTCTTGATTGACCAGGGAGTCTCTTAGGCGTATTCTAGAAAGTTCTCCTGTACCCCAAGATAGATCGAGAGATGCAGGCATTCTCTTTTGTACCTTTAAATGGGTTTACATGAAGTTGTGATGAATGGAGCTATGACATCCATCTGCGAACCTGGGAATGAAAGGCAACAACCTAAAAACACCCACAGGAAACTATGGAAGAGGCTGGATGCTTGATGAGGTCGCTGAGTCACCAAACTTAACTATTCCTAGAACTGTCCCACTTCTCAACTTCCAGTAAGATGACTTTCTAATTATGACTGTGTAAGCCAGTTTTAATTGGGTTTTCTGTAAAATTGCATCTCAGAGCACTGTGGCTACTAAAATGATCAGCATTATTAGTTTTTTTTCAGATATGTAATTATATCTAATGTAGACGTTTGGGAGCCCTTCAACATTTAAAATGGATTTACCATAAAAATCTTTCTCAGGGCTATTTATACAAAAAGTTATTTAATTTAAACACATTTCTAATTGTGTTTTACTTTGCCGAACTAAAAACAAAAATAAAGGATTATAAAACACTGTGTGAAGATTAACAATATTTCCTAGGAGGGATTTATTTTTAAAAGTAATAGAAACACTGCCTAATGAGAAGTCAGTCAAAAGCAAAAGCAAATGATATTCTTTCCTTATATAAAGCGGTGATAAATCTGAAACTAGACAGCACACATTGAAAATAGATGCAGTAATGCATACATACACCAGTGAGTCCAGATTATCCTAAGGTGTTTCTTCAGTTTCAGTAGACTCTAGTACTTTTGTTTCAAACACTGAGAATTTTAAAAAGGATACTTAATTCTGAGTGGACAGCTTACACATTTTTGAAATAAAGTAAAATTTATACCACTTATAATCAATCCGGGAGAGTGACTAACAAAACCTAAATGGTATTTTTATGTAAGAAACACTGGCTTTAGTAGTTTTCAATAAATATTAATTCTTATATTTTCATAATTACTTGAGAATATATCTTTCCAACTGTGAAAACCATGACAATCAAAATTTTAAGTATATATCTTGTCAGGCCCTTGACAAGGGCAGAAATAGCCAGAAAAAAATACTTAGAATTAGCTACAATAAGATTATAACAGTAAATGGCTGAAATACATTCTGTGACATGAAATGAACATTTCTAAGCCTTGCAGTCTTAACCAAGACCCTTATAAAATTTCAGTATTTTTCTTATTGTGTGCCATCAAATTGGATCTGACTGGCACAGGAGGATATTACCCCTCCTTCTCCAGCAGAGCATCTGATGGATTTGAACCATAAAAGAGTATTTTTTAGAATGTTGTTGTTGTTGTTGAGTTGTAGGCAACTCAACGGGGCCCTATGAACAAAACCTGAACACTTGTATAACTTTCATCCTTTCTCCAGGTTCGTATGGTTTCCAGAGGCACACTATTTCAGAAGTGGATGCCACTCTTACTTCCAAGCTTGTTTTAATTGGGAAGCTCCACCAAACACTGTCCACCACGAGTGACCTTTATTGCATTTTACACATCAGTGTCACAGTGTTCAGCTTCACAGCAGCCATGAGGAATAAATGTTTTAAACTTTTTAAAGGGAAGCAAGACTGAAAAGTAGCCTTTTCTAAAATAAAAATACTCAGTGATAAATAAAAAATGAGAGGAAACGGATAAAGCTGATGGATAAAAATTGGTAACTTGAAAACATGTCATTTATACATGTCAAGTTTATTTAATGTTAATATTCATGAAACAAATTATTTCCTACCAAGTGATTCTTATTAAGTGCCTGGATTTGGCTCCAGATCAAAGCCACCCCCGATTTATCATCACCTACACACAGAAGATGAAAGGCTGCCTAACCCCGAGTGGTCCTTACAATCCCTGGTGCCCGGGTCCCCCTTGCAGCCACTCTGCCAATCCATCGCATTGAGGGTCTTCCTCTTCTTCTCTGATTCTCCACTGTCCTCCCTCCTGACAATATGCACAAAATTTTAGAGACGAAGACCCAGCATCCTCTTTCCCAAGAAACTTTTTTTACTGTGCTGAGCAATTAGTGTAAAGTAACTTTAAAGAGGAGTTCTGTTGTTTTTGTTGTTAAGTGCCATCGAGTCGAACATGACTCATAGTGACCCTGTGAACAAAAGACCTGAACCCTGTTCTATAACTATCATCGTTTCTCTAATTTCATAGAGTTCCCAGAGGCATGTCGTTTAGGAAGTGGATGGCACTTCTGCTTCTAAGCCTGTCTCAATCTGGGAGCTCCAGCAAACACTGTCCACCGTGGGTAACCATTACGGCATTTGACTGACACACTAGCGTCACAGTGTTCAGAATCAGAGCAACCCCAAGTTACCTCAATATAGCAAAATGACAGACCAATGTTGTACCACTTAGAAGAATGTTAATCCCAAACACAATTACCAACTGACTTAAATGCTGAGGCCCTCCACCAGGTCCTGTTGACTCTAAACAAGCGGCCTCCTGCCCAAAGATCATTGTTAGCTAAATCCAGCAAATCCAATCAGCTCACATACAATTGTGTGCAAAATAAAAAACAAGCAAACAGTCTACACCTAACCCTCAACCAACACAAAACATCTCACCTTTCAGAATCCAACTAATTCAAACATCAGCCTCCCCACTAAAGAGGAGTTCTAGTAAACTATTTTTAGTGAGAATAAAAGGTATTTTCTATTTAAGGATTACGAGACTGCTTGTTAGGTCAAGTTCAGGGTTTCGATGTTGGGTATCTAGCTTCTGGATAGATTGCCATTACAACAATCAGATATGTGGCACTGAAGAGATTGGTTGTCTTGTTGTGACCATCAAGTTAGAATCAACACAAAGCTGATGCTCCAGGGGATTTTGAGAAGCTGTAATCACAGGGTAGGAGACATCCCATCCTTCTTCTACAGAGCAGCTGGTGGATACGAACTGCATGCCTTTGGGATTGCAGTACAGATTCTTACCATTAGGCCATTAGAGCTCCCTGAAGAGATTGGCGAGGTGAGCCTTTTCTAATCTCCATCCTGCACACCGGAGTCAGCTGGGACACTGAGAGAACATTTCACAAACACTTATGCCTTAGTTCCAGACCAGACCAACTGAACCTCGGTAGACTGGGTGTGCATTTACTGTTTTTAAAAGATCCTCAGTTGCTGACAAATGCTTACACAATATTGCTTTTAGGATTTTTCTAATCATTGAGAAAGAAATGCTGAGTTTGCAATGACAACTGATTGAAGACTGAAAGATACTTAGTAAACCTGGAAACTTTTATACTTATTGAATGGAAGTAGAACAAAGTTATAACGTATTCTTCTTCTGCAGTTCAGTTTACCTTGGGCTTCTCCTCCAGGATCTGCTGTCGTATCTCCTTGTGTTTCTCAACAAGTTTTTCATGCCGCTTACTTTGTGCCTCTTCTAACTAAAAGAAATCAATCAATAAAAGGAAGAGGAGTCATCATCATCATCATCATCATATTCCAACATGAAATTCAGAAAACATTTGTAAGCTTTTTAGAACTGGTCTGCATCTGATTACTTCAAAGTCTGGTCAAGACCTGTTCTGACAAGGGTAGGACAGTATTGAAAATGGGATTAGTAAATTGGGGTTTGGGTGAGGTGGTGAGTGGTCAACAGATACATCATTTTTCCATCAAGTGTCTGAAAGCTTCCAAAACATCAAAGTAAAACAAAAATAAAAGAATAAAAAAATATTGACGCTGGAGGTTATCATATTCTCTCACTAATAACAGCTAAAGATTGGTAGTCTCCTCCCATATGGTTTCCAGCCTCTGAAAACTCATCAAGGAGTCAGATAATGAGTTGGTTCCAACTCAGTGGTACACAACAACAACAACAACAACAACAACAACAAGGATCTGCTGGGAAAATATCAATCTTGCTTTGTTTCTGGTCTTTTGACTTTGGAAATGAATTTTGCCCCTTTTATTGAGTGGTTTCTAATGGAACAAGCAGAAACATTTATTATGGAGTGGCAGCTTGAGAAGTAGGTCTGCCAGGGGCTTGGCTTTGCCTTCTAGAATGTCACAATGTTCTCCTCAAACTTTCACCTAGAGTCTGCCAAGGACAGTGATTAACCAACATACTCTCTTGATGGACTGCACCACCTCCTGGATGTATGATCGGATCATCTCGGTCTTCTCCCTAAAAACAAATGAGGAAGAGACGATAAAAGGAACTCAGCTGGACATTACAGACACAGGAAATCTCAGAGTTCAAGATGGAAGTTTGCAGACCACTCAGTATTCTTATGACTGGCAGCAAGCAGGACACAATCACCAGCTCAAGGAAAAGATCAGGCTCCACCCCAGGTCCAGCCCTTGTTTTCATTCAGTGCAGGAAGGCCCTCTGACAACATCTAAAGGGAAGATTTAGACTTCCTAATTGATTTATTTCTTTTCTCTTGGCTTGCTTACAAAGTTTGTATACATTGTGTTTCACACTTTCCTGTGTAATCAGCCTTTATGGAAAGGTCTTAGGTGATTCTCAAGGACATCTGGTGATACAATCTGCAGTGTTGCACTGCTAACCAAAGGCTGTGACTTTCCTACAGTTCACAGGTAGTCTCCAAAGGAGAAAGATAGGAAGTCTCTGCTAAGATTTATAGTCTATCAAACTCAATGTAGAGTCACTACAGGTCAGAATTGACTCAATGGCCATGAGTTTGAGGCAAATCTCAATCCTTTTTGAATCTCTCATTAGTGGTTCACTGTTAACCATCTTACAAAAACCTTTTTGAGAGGCTGTCGAGAGAATTAGAAGGGTTAAAGGTCTTCTGATGGTGTAATGCAAAACACTGGACTAGAAGATTAGAATTTCAAAACTACCAGATGCTCTGAGGAAAGACGATACAGTTTGCTCCTGTTAAGATTTACAGCCTCAGAAACCTGATGGGGAGGGGAGTCACCAAGAGTCAGAATTGACTTGTTGGCAGATGATCATGGGTCTTGTTTTGGGTGGTATATGGCTAGGAGTCCTACCAGCATAGGGGTTAATGGGCTGGCTGCTGTGGTGTTGACCCAAAAGCTGGCTCTTTTTTAGCCATTACAGTTCGCCTTTCTGGTCTTCAGCTACTTTAATTTGCATACATATTGTCTTGCAAATCAGAATGATCTTACAAATCAGCAACAGCTTTGGCACTAGGATAAGAGAAAGTGAACTTCCAACACTGGACAGCAAGACTCGAGGTGAGCAAGGTTTAGGCAAGCAAGATTTGTGGAAAGACCTGAGGGAAACTAGAGCGAGACCCTGGTGAGAGCGAGACCCTGGTGGTGAGAATCAAGTCATGGTGGTGGAGTGACCTTGTTGTGGAGAAACTGTGACAAGGTGTGACCTGAGGTTTCCTGCATTTGTACTGGCCACAATTAAAGGTTTTGCGGTTCTTACCAGATGCTTGAAGGAGAAGCTGACTGATAACTAACTACTCTGAGGCAAACCTGCTGGATTTTTGGATTTAAAGGCTGAACTAAAACTGGAGTATTTGAGGAATTAATTGGGCCTTGGGACTTTTGGACTAAACTTGGATTTGGGTGATATTCTTTGCTTTCCCCATCTCCAATTCACTTCCCTACAAAGAGCTATGGGCTCTTTATCTGCTTTCTGCTCTGGGGCATCGAGGGGCTGTGCTATTCTTGCTCCCTCTGGCCATTTCAGAGAGACATGCATGGTCTTGTGTCCCCATTTCCCATTTTATGTCCCCAAGATAGCTGCTAACCTTGATGATTAGAGGTTCAAATCTACCAGCCAGTCACTCCCTGGGAGAAAAATGTAGCAGTCAGCTCTCATAAGAGTTACAGTCTCAGAAATCTATGGGACAGTGCTATTCTGTGCAATGGGGCTGTTATGAGTCAAAATACCTTGACAACAATGGATTTCTATTTTGGTATACAGCTAGGGATCTGTTCCTTTGATTAAGAATCAACCAATCTCCAGATTAAAGGAGGAAGGAAGAAGGAAGGAAGGCTTTCTTTTTACTTACTCTTCCATCTGGCCTTTGTCCTTAGATTTAGCTTCTGTTATCTTCTCTTGCCTTTTTTTATCCATTTTCTTTTTTAATTCCTTCTTCTCTCTAGATTCAAAATGGAAGGAAAATGGAGCAGAAAGCAAATCAAATGGGAATTTGTAATTAATCCATTTGAATCACAGGTCAAGCAGTAATGGGAATGGAGGCTTACTTGTCACAGATTTCTTTGAGCTTCTTTAATTGATTGTTCTGACACTCTTCTGCCACATCTGTCAACTTCTGAACAAGCTGAGGAAAAAGAACAGATTTTTTAAAAATTTATTTTACATTATTACAAAGTACCTCCTCCACAAACAACAGATTCTGTGTTTAGAAAATCAGTTTAAAGATGTGAATAATCCAAACCATGGTCCATTCAACTACTTGCTGTGCATCTGAAAGTTGGACAATGAATAAGGATGACAGAAGAACAATCAATGCCTATGAACTGTGGTGTTGGAAGAGTATTGAATATCTCATGGCCTCCCCAAAAAACCAAACAAGACTGTCTTGAAGAAGGTGCAACAAACACTTTCCTTAGAATCAAGATGTAATGAACTTTGTCTCATATGTATTGGGCATATTGTCAAGAGGGGCAAGGCCTTAGAAAAGGACATCACGCTTGGAAAGGTGGAGGGTCAGTGAAGGAGAGGAAGGCCCTCCAGAAGATGGTTTGACACAGTGATGGTAACAGTGAGCTTGAGTATATCAGAGAAAATGAGGATAGCTTAAGATCCGTTAGATCTTAAAGGTTTAGATCCATTGTCCACAGTGTTTCTACAAGGCATAATTGACTCAATGACGCCAGACAACAACAATGTTTACAAATACCTGAAATAGTCAGACATCTAACATTATCAGTGAGGGCATGATGTGAAATCATCATATCATCTGAGCTTTCCTTACAAGCATTGTTGTTTCAGCCCATGATTCATTCTTTGGGAGACCTTGGTATAAAAAATATTTTCTCCTAACATCATATTTTATTTCAAATGTATCAAATTTCCATTGGTGTCCCTCATGTATTGTCCACACACATATGAGTCAATTGAAAATATCATGGCTTAGGTCAGTAACATCTTAGTCCTCAAGGTACCTTTTTTTTTCTTTTTCTTTTTGAAATCTTAAAAAAATCGTTCACAGCAGATTTTCCTAATATACTGTCTTATCTGATTTCTTGACTGGTGCTTCCATGACTGCTGACTATAGTAAGTTTTCATTGTTATTATTTAGTACCGTAGAGTCAGAACTAACCCACAGCTGACCCTCCTGTGAGTTTTCAGAAACAGTTAATTGCACTGGAGGAGACAGCCCACCCTTCTCCCACAGAACATCTGGTGGCCTCGAACCACATGCCTTTGGGATTGCAATGAAGCTTCTTACCACTAAGCCACCAGAGCTTTTTAGTACTTTTTAATTACATGGATTTTCATTAATATTATGCTGGTTTCTGAAGCATGGTTCCATGCAAAAACAAATCGCAATGTCAACTCAGGTTTGAATCTCTACATCAAATGTGTAATTCAGAGGAAGAGGCCTACATTTTCTGAATCTATTTTGGTTTTTTTTTTTTTGGTAATGAAAGAAATTATTAATGTTTGTACCTTTTGGAGCAGAGCCCCTGCGTGAAACAAATGGTAAAGCACTTGGTAGCCAATTGAAAGACTGATTGGTTAAGCCCACCAAGTATCACTTCAAAAGAATCTCTTGCCAACCAGCTTCCAAAAGTACAGAGTCAAAGTAAAGTCTATGGAGCACACTGTGCTCGGCACACAGGGAGTCACCATGAGTTGGGATTGGCTTGAACGGCCCTGTGAGGTGAATGTTACTACCTTGTCTTTATACATGAAGGAACTGCGATGCACGGAGGTTAAGTTACTGTCTTGGGGCAACAGGTGAATTCAGATACAGACAACAAAACCTCATGGCTGTTCATGGTCTTTCCCACTGTCCTATGCTTTACATTACTATTTTGAAAGTTCTTTTATAAATCTCATTATTATGTAAGATAATGAGAGCAAACCAGAAAGAAATTATTATAGAGTTATAATAAAGAACTCACATTAATTTAAAATTAACATGCAACTTAAGCATTCATCTCTGATGTGAATTAAATCTAAGCAAAGAGTAAGTAGGGATTGTTGTTAGGTGTTGTCAAGCTGAGTATGACTCATAGCGACCTTATGAACAAGAGATCTGAACCCTGAACAACAGATCTGAACCCTGTCCTATCCTGTGCCATCTTCACACTTCTGACACAAGAGCACAGTGTGGCAGTCACCGTGTCAATCCACCTGGTCTAGGGTCTTTCTCTCCTTTGCCAACCCCACACTTTTCCCAGCATCATGTCTTTCTCCAATAAATAGACCCTCCTAGCAATATGCCCAAAATATATAAGGCAAAGCCTTATTTTTCTGCATAAAAGCTATTTGACCATTCAAAAGAGAGTGCTTGACATGATCCTCACAGTGAAAGAAATAATGAACCATCACAGTTTGGTAGTGCCATTTATAAAACAGGTATTGCTGTTACTGAGTGCTGGTGAGTCAATCACCACTCTCGTAGTAGTTCATATATAGTGTCCGAGGATTGATACAATTTCCTTCAAAAAATGTAAAATATCCTCCAGTTCCCCCTGGATTCTATGTGGTATCTTATGATTCCATGACACCCAGTTCTGGGTGTCACAGTTTTATCTTCTCGACAAAGAGATTGTTCCTTATTTATATTCAACAAAGCATCTTCTGCCTTAAGTTACAGAGATTTCGGAAAGTACCATAGTCACTCCTCTTCTGACCCATTCCTTCAATTCAATGCAGAATCTCCAACAGCCTGTTGATCAACTGTAGCTGATTCTGACTCTTAACAAGGCTTTCTTCAGAATTTCTCCAATGTGTTATTGTATTGTTGTTGTTGTGTGCCATCGAGTCATAACTGACCCATAGCTGATCCTTCAGCAGGTTAATAGCATGGGAGGATATTGTCCATCCTTGTCCCACGAAGCAGCTGGCGGATTTGAACTGTGTGCCCTAGGGATTGCAGTGCAGTTTTGAACCACTAGGCCACCAGAGCTCCCTATGTGTTATTAGAAAATGATATAAAATTCAGAGAGACTAATGCTAATATATAAAGAAAAGCAAGAGAGAGGAGAGAGAAACAGAAGGATAGAGGGAGAGAAGAAAAAAAAGATTGATCTAGTAGGTGCAATAGTTGTTGATGCTGTTATCGCCATCAGGTTGAGCGCGATTCTTAGCGACCCTATAAACAAAATACCTGAAGCCTTTCTATAACTACTGTTGTTTCTCAAAGTTCAGAATGTCCAGGCGTATGCTGAATAGGAAGTAGATGCCACTTCTGCTTCCACACCTGTCCTAATCTGGGAGCTCCACCAAACACTGTCCACTGTGGGTAACCGTTCAGGCATTTGACACACTTGTGGTCAGCATCACATCAAGCCCAGGTTATCTCAGTACAGCACATTGTCAGAAGAGTGCTCTACCACTTAGAAGAATGCTCCTCCAAAATATAACAACTGACTTTTAAATACAAAGAGCCTCCCTGAGGTCTCGTTGACTCTAAACAAAAGGCTTAAATAAAACCAACCAATACAATATGTTGTTGTTCTTGTTATTTGCCATCGAGTTGCCTGTGACCCATAGCAACTACGCGTACAGCTCTCAATCCTTCCCTGTCTGAGCCAGTCTCACTAATTTTGACATACCAACCCCTGTTGCCGCAGTTACTGTGTCAAATCATCTCATCCGGGGTCTTCCTCTCCTGCACTGTCCCTCCACCCTTGCAAGCATGATGTCCTCTCCAAGGGACTGATATTAAAAAAAAATGATCCCAATTTCTTTGCTTCCCATGGTTTGGATAGTCAAGCTTTTCTTGCTACCAAGAAAGTTTGAAAAAAAAAAAAAAAGCCAAAAGACTCCTAAATAAAAAAGAGAGAGAGAGAAAGATGTGAGGCAGGCAGGATTAAGGGAGAAAGAAAAGTTCTTGGCTTAATGGTAAGAAATTGCGCTGTCAACCTGAAGACATGTGGTTTGAATCTGTGGACTGCTTTTCAGGCTCAGGATTCCTGTTGCCGGACATGTGACAACAGAACTCAAAAGAGCATTTTTCCCCCACAAAGGCAATTATTTTTAAACTTTTTAAAAGACCCTGAAGAGATACTTTTGTTGTATTTGTTAGCAGCCAGGTTGTCCTCAAAGAGTACAATTCAATCATGGGATTAGCCACAAATCTTCCTAAAAGTCAACTGTCTATTAGAAGCAGAAAAGAAGATTAGTTTATAATTCCTAGGAAAATAAATCAAGAGCACATGTGCTAAACTAAATTGTAGTAGCCACAATTTAACTTTTCATATAATTTTTTTCTAAGCTAGAGGAATAAATATAACAAATTTTTCTATTTATTACTCAGGATGACTATCCTAGCTAAATGTTCCAAACCTTTTAAGGAATAAAAATAAAGAGCTCTGGGGAATATAATTTCACGCTTGTTCACAATTATATGCTGAGTTTCACTTGGTTCCATTATCTGAGAGTGAGCGGGGAAAATGGTTTCTGTGAGAATTCCGTAATTGCAGCTCAAGAGGGAACAAAAATATGTGGGCAGAAATGGACATGTTTAGCATCTCATCTGTTGTTGTTGTCGAGTGTACCATCGTCGAGTTTGAGTCAGAACCCACCCATAGTTGGCCCTCCAGTGGGTTTTCAGAGGCAGTAAATTGCATGAGAGGAGAAATTCTGTCCTTCTCCTGCAGAGCAGCTGGTGGATTTGAACTGTGTGCCTTCAGGATTGCTTTTCACCACTACGCCAGGAGGAGCTTCCTAGAGTCTCATCTAAGAAGGATAATATTGGAAAATGTGCAATAAGCCAAGTATAGAATTTTCACAAACTAAGCATAACTCATCTTCCTTCCCTTTTGACAACATTGTGAAAAGTTATTTCTTTTTCTTTTCAGCTAGTAAAAAGTATACACTCCAGGTTTACAAACACCACAAAATAGTGGCATTCTACAAAGGTAGGAGTTTACGAGGTTACTCAACTAAGTGGCCATCTAAAAACTAAATATATTACTGACAGTTTAAAGTAAGGTGAATTTTTATATTGGAGCATATCTTGAGCGTTTAAAATAAGAAGAGATTCATTCAGTCAATTAAT